ACATTGCCTAGTAAGTATCTTGAATGTCTCTTTAGTCAAGTTCAGTTTATATTCACAGAATATATCTTATTTCTCTGCAAATGCAAGACCTAAGTGAGAATGTGGAGAATGGGAAGTTTGGAGATAGTTTGGAGAAAACCTTTAGTTAGGGCCCGAAGCACTGACAAGTGCGTAGGACCCTATTGAAACCCTAGCGATTATTAGGGCCCGAGCACGAACCGTGCAAGGACCCTCTTGAAACCCTAGTGATTATTATTTTTAGGGCCCGAAGCACTGACAAGTGCGTAGGACCCTCTTGGAACCCAAATGATTAATAGGGCCCGAGCACGAATTATGCCATTAACATAGCACCCCCTACTGGAAAGAGGCGGTACTGCATCTCAGCTACTTTGTCTGATCTGCTTAAAATTTGATCAGGGTTGGCCTCTGAACACTTTAACATAACAATAGTCAACTTCAACCGTAGTGCCCCCTACTGCAAGGACTAAGTACTACATCCTATATACTTTGTCTGATCTGATTGAAACTTTACTTGTATGATCAGGGTTGGCCTTTGAACACATTGTCATAACAATAGTCAACTTCAACCATAGCGCCCCCTACAGCAAAGAGCAAGTACTACATCCTATATACAATGCTCAATTTCCTCCAAATTTCATAGCTATCATGACAGTGCCAGCCTGAACTGCTCTAAGTCAAAATTTCATGTGATCTTCATTACGTTGCTTATTTCAACCAGTGGGCGCGCACTGTAGCTGTTCCCACTCAACGTTCTTGAAGCCAAAATACGCCGCTTAGGGGCGCTTCCATCTTGCGATTTTGCCGTCATTTGGAGCCAGAGTCTGCGCAGTAGGGTCCGGGGGCAGGAGCCCTGGTAACACGCCCCGCCCATTTAGCGTACTTGCCCTGATGACTTACGCAGCCCAGCTACGCTGAAAACGCTCTCACGGTCTACGAGTCTTATGAAGAAATGTGTAAGTACAACAAACTATCATATTCAAAGTCTAATATTTAATTTGTTTTTTGTTTTTTTTCTTCGCATTTAGCAGCTAAAGAGCTCCATGATTCCCACAGGAGTTTCTGGAGAGCAACACAGGGCTAAATGAAGAATGGATGCTATCTTCCAAACATATGCTAGTTGCTCTGCTAGATAAAAAACGAAAAAGAAAAAGCAACTGTTTGAAAACCTGTTAGGCATTTGAGCTATGACAGACAGCATTTATGATGTCCATGTATATGTATTCTTGATTGTTGAACACATTGCTGTTCCATTTAATTATGGTGCATCACTTTATTTTAATAATTGACTCTCTGGCAGCAGATGTTCTGTGATACTTTTATTATCACCATAACTGAACCCCCTTCTTCCTATTTCAGGAGTGAGTTGATGCACGGCATCATTAGTCTCATCATTGATCTCCCTCCTCTCTGCAGCCTCAGGATAGTCTGCTGTCACTGCTGTCTGTGATGCGTCCGCTTTAAAAGTCAAGGTGAAGCATCAGTGAGCACATCAGGATGCCTGTTTCCTACAGCACAGACAGCTGCGGTAAAGCACGCGCAGCTTTTACTTCAATCCCCACCTCCCCTGAGACAGCTTAAGGAGGAAGATTCATGCAACAGTTCGAGAAGAAGATAGTTAGCAGAAGATAGTTTGTCATTGAGCTCAGTAGAAGTCACTCTGTCCTAGTGAAATTGTATTCAATACTTGCTGCAACTTGTTTTTTTTATTTTTTTCATTAGGTGCAATAAAGTGACAAACTGGTGATATACAAATGAGGCACAAAAAAACAAACAGACAAGGTCAGGACAACGACTCCAAAATACAGTAAAAAATAAAACTAAATAAGACAAATAAAGACAGCAAAATAAGACATCAATAGACACACATCATACTACGAACAGAAAAACTACAAAACTATATGAAATACCTAAGAAAGGATACAAAAAGTGAAAGAAGTGATAGAGAGAGAGAGAGAGAAGGGGAGGGAGAGAAGGTGCTTAGTAAGGGGGACTTGAGAGGTGGAAGAGAGTTGAAGAGTTGAGCAGTGGTATGTGTTGAATATGTTGATGTTAAACAATGATGTGGTGTGAGAGGTGAGAGTTTGTGTAATGATTATGTTTTAGCGGAAGTTTTGGGGTTGGTTTGAACGTTATTTTATTGGAGGGGAGGATGGAGGGAGAGGCAAAGCTATTATTTTTCTTTTCTTTTCTTTTCTTTGGCCGGGTCCTGCAGCAGCAGCCCCCAGACCCTCAGGAAGGGACTTGTCGCTTGCAGGACCCGGCCTGTTCAGCGAGCACACGAGAGGGAGGGGCCACCAGACCCAGAGGAGGGAGCCCCCCCCCCACCCCCCGTATTGTTATTGTCATGCCCCTCTCTCTTGAGCATCCTCCCCAATAAAAACAGCTCTGTGGTGATTTGTTTGGGTGGTATGACAGAGTGTATGTGTGTGTGTGTGTGAGAGAGAGGAAAGAGCAGTATATATATAAAAAAAAAGAAGAAAAAAAGAAAGGGGAAACAGGGATAATAATAATAATAAATATGTTTACTAATTATGATGATATGTCTTATGATGGATTGGAAGTAACATGTAGCCAAAAACAATCAAATAAAGAAAAAACATAAAAAGTTAGCATGATGGTGTTTTGAATTTGAACAGATGATATGATGCCTGATGTATATCGAAAGGAATAAAGGGAATAACATTGTAAATCAAAATAAATAAATAAAAGTCTATTATTTAAACACACTATGTTTTAAAAAAAATCCCTCTACATCTGTAAAAAGTTATATATCCTGTGATTCTTTTGAAGTTTCATAAGAGGATTGTAAAAACAAGCTATTGTTAACAATACAGTCTCCTAAAATTAAATAAAAATCACACTGAGTCATACACCAGCTAAATGTTAAATAGAAAGGTGATGTTTTCTTTTCCATTTTATAATCAACAGAACCTAAAAATGACTCATTTCAACCTTCATCTGCACACCTGTTACAGAGGTCAGGCTGGGGTCGCTTAGTTTGAAGGAACCTCCTCCTTTTTTCACCTGTGCTTGGACTAAGAGCTGTGCCAGATGCCCTGCTCATCCACTGTGGTAGAAATGACCTTACACCAGCAGCTCTCCCAGATGAAGAGTCCTCTCTGCCATCACCCAGAGGAGCTGATCGACAACTGAAGGTGAACAGTGAGAAGGCTACCATAGTCATCCTCAGATAAAACACAGAGATCCAGGTCAATATTCAATGGTGCTATTTTTCTTTACATGATGTTACCCTGTGTTTGAAAGGCCAAATGCTGGAGGGTTGTGTTGGATTTGCTTTTCCATCATATTTTAACAGTCAAAAAATCATCCAGGATTTATATACTTTATTTGATTTTTATTTGGATTTCTTTTTTTCATAAAATGTTTAAATAAACTTTTTTAAAATCTGAATTGACTGTCTCTGATTAACTGGAGAACGACAAAGTGTTGGTCGCAGTAAAATAATTTAACAGTTAAGTTTATAGCTCACATTTGAAAAGGCCTTGAACTGACATTCATTTCTTCTTGACCAACAACAGCTAAGACAACAGCAAAGCTAACAGACGAGCTCAGCTTGTGTCAGCCGGTCTCGTCTGAGATAAATGGCCTTCAAACTTATTTAATATTAAACATTTAAAGCCAATAAGCATAGCAAGATACGCACGAGATTCCATTTCCATTTATTCAATCACAGACTTGTCAAACAGTCTGGCATGTTGTGCTGCTGTTTTCAAGAGTTAATGACTAAAGAGAAGAACTCCATCGAGAGAGGACAGGAAACACTCAGGGGACGAGTCCTCCATGTTGTCAGGGGTTGTTGATGGATCTGAATCTGAGGGCATCTTCTGTAATAAAGAAAAACAATCATGGAGTTAAATGTAAAGTATAATGATTTTTACTGTGATGTTTATGCTTCAGACCTGAAATCAGATCTGTCCTCAGGTTCTGCTAAACTTCAGCTTCTAAAGTTTGCCTTTATAAATAAGTAGCTGATAATGTTTTTGTTTTCCTATTAAAGACAGGAGAACTATTTAAGAGGAAAAACAAATATATAATAATACAGGATAAATCCAATAATATGTTCAGCTTTATGAATTTATGTTTTAAGACAAGTGTTCCAGCCACTTTCTTTTTTTTTTTGGGGCTTTTTTGCCTTTAATGGAGAGATGGGACAGTGGATAGAGTTGGAAATCTGGGAGAGAGAGAGTGGGGAGTGACATGCAGGAAGGTAGCCACAGGCTGGATTTGAACCTGGGCCTTCTGGTTTGAGGACTATAGCCTATATACATGGGGTGTGTGCACTAACCACTGTGCCACCAATGCCCCGTTCCTGCTACTTTCTATTGAAGATTATTTTAAACTGTCATCACATGGGCCAGCCTGATAAATTAAACTAATGTTAAATATTTTCATATAATCACGACATATGTCCCCTGTTGATTTATTATTTCTAACTACTCACAGTACAACTGTGAAACTTAAACAGTGAGACATGATTTCAACAGTGTGAGCAGAAACTGCAGTCAGTTGGATTCTTGTGCTCCATGAGAAATATACAGAAGTAGCTTCAGTATTTGGCAAAAAAAAAAAGTCAATTCAATGTACTGATTTGGTGTTGTGTGGTAATTACCCATTAAACGAATCAGACAGCCAATTTGTGTGCAGAACGTCACCGGAGCTGGAATCAGAGTCTGGACTGCTGTTTCCTTTGGGCATTGATTTCCTTGAAGACAGACAGAAGAACAATTTAAACATGAACTTCTTTCAGAACCATAGAGGCTGTTAAAATCTTCTGCTAGTCTTGCTTACATTTTAGGAAGGATTATAAATTGTTACTAAAATTACTTTGATGCTGATAGAGGTTACAATAACACGGTCCAATCATATGAGAGATCATTTTACCTTTGAGTCCTATGTGAAGGCGTTCTCTTCAGAATCAACACTGCAAAGACAAGATGATGGCGTCCACCTTCACAACATGCTGCTTCAGTCTGGCTGCATCATGGTCTCCTACAGGAACACCACAGAAATGCAATCAAAGTACTTCACTTTATTTATCAGAGGATGTACTGTATGCAAAGTAGATTTTTTTAGCTGTAATTCCTCAAAAAGATTTGAGACTGCTTTGTTATTTGAGAGCACAGATTGTTTCTTTTCCCTTCTCTCTGTTAGCAGCGCCCGAGCAGAGCAGTGAGCAGCGCCTGAGCAGAGCAGCGCCCGAGCAGCGAACTACGGGTGAGCGTATTGCATCATTTTCTGTTCTGTTCTCCTCTGTACTGTGTTACTGTGTACCTACACTTATAGCTTAGCTTAGCAGTTAGCCTTACAATGGCTTCTTCTTCTGTCTCTCCCTCTCCTGCTCTCTCCTGCTCTACGTGTCAGATGTTAAGTTACTCCTCGTCCTCCTTTAGTGATAATGATACATGTAAGAAATGTAGTTTATTTTTAGCTTTGGAGGCGAGGGTGTCTGAGTTAGAGAGACGGCTCTGCACCATTGAGTCAGAGTCATCGTATGCAGCAGTAGTTAGCCAGCCACCTGTAGCCGGTGCGGGCCGACATAGCTTGGCTTCCCCCCCGGTAGCTCCCGAGCAGCCGGGAGGCAGTGGCTGGATTACTGTCCGAGGGAAGCATAGTCGAAAATCGAAGCACACAGTTCCCCACCAACCACTTCACGTTTCAAACAAATTTTCCCCACTCAGCGACACACCCGCTGAGAATAAAACTCTGATTATTGGAGACTCCATAGTCCGGAACATGAAGCTAGCGAAGTCAGCAGGTATAGTTAGATGTATACCCGGGGCCAGAGCGGGCGACATCGCATCTCATTTAAAGTTGCTGACAAAGACTAAAGGTAGATTTGATACAATCGTAATTCATGTCGGCACTAATGACTCCCGACTATGCCAGTCGGAAGTTACTAAGGTTAATGTGGAGTCGGTGTGTACTTTTGCTAAGACGATGTCGGACTCCGTAGTGTTCTCTGGACCCCTCCCAAATCAGACCATTGATGACATGTATAGCCGCATGTCATCACTCAACCGCTGGCTGTCGAGGTGGTGTCCAGCACACGATGTGGGCTTCATAGATAACTGGCAGTCTTTTTGGGGAAAACCTGGTCTGCTAGCTAGAGACGGCATCCATCCCACTTTGGACGGTGCAGCTCTATTATCTAGAAACATAGCAGAGGTTATTAGTCCAAAACCTTGACATCAACTCAGAGTTCAGACCAGGAGACAGAGCTGCAGTCTTACACGCTTCTCTGTGCCTCCTTTAGATCTGTCTCCCAGTCACTATAGCTGTAACTCTAAATCGAACTGTAGTTATACTATAGGTACTGTGTCTGTCCCCCGGCCCAGACCAAGTCATCCAAACGAAGAAAGAAAAGGCGTACATCGTCAAAATCTCATCAGGATCAAGACTACAAATACGATTTTGCTAAAAAATCAGAAGATTCACTGTGGACTTTTGAAGATCAGGTCCTTAGCATCCAAATCTCTTTTAGTGAATGATCTGATATCAGATCAGCATATTGATTTACTTTTTTTGACTGAAACCTGGCTGTGTCAAGATGAATATGTTAGTTTGAATGAATCCACTCCTCCCAGTCATTTTTGTACTCGTATACCTCGAGACACCAGACGAGGTGGTGGAGTAGCAGCTATTTTCAATTCTGGACTTCCAGTTAACCCTCGACCAAAATTGAATTTTTCTTCTTTTGAAAGCCTTGTTCTTAGTTTTTCACATCCAGACTCAAGAACCTTTCAGCCAGTTCTAGTTGTTGTAGTTTACCGTCCTCCTGGCCCATATTCTGAGTTTCTATCTGAATTTGCAGCATTTTTATCAGATTCAGTCCTTAGCAATGATAGAATAATTGTTGTAGGTGACTTCAATAGCCATGTGGATGTTGATAATGATAGCCTGAGCACAGCTTTCATGTCACTATTAGACTCAATTGGTTTCACCCAGGGTGTAAACGAACCTACTCATCGTTTTAACCACACCCTGGATCTTGTTTTAGCTTATGGAATTGAAATCCATAACCTTACTGTTTTCCTAGAAAATCCTCTGCTATCAGACCATTTTTTTTATTACATTCGATTTTGTCCTACTAGAATTACCTCTGCCTGGAAGAGGTGTGCTCTCTAGAAGTTTGTCGGATAGTGCTGTTGCTAGATTTAAGGAAGCTATTTCAGCTGTTTTTGATTTAGTACCGTGTTTCAACCCAGTTGGAAACTCTTATGATAGCTTTAGTCCCTCTCAGCTAGATCAGTTTGTTGATAGTGCAGTGGATTCGCTGAGAGTTACTCTGGATTCGATTGCTCCCCTGAAACAGAAGGTTGTCAAGCGGCAGAGAGTGGCTCCATGGTTCAACTCAGAAACCCGTACTCTAAAACAATCGTTGCGGAATTTTGGAAGAATATGGCGCTCAACCAAAACGGTAGAATCTCGTTTTTTCCAGCAGGATAGTCATAGAAGATATATGAAGGCTCTACGTCACGCCCGAGCTGCCTACTACTCCTCTCTAATTGAGGAAAACAAAGGCAATCCTAGATACCTTTTCAGCACTGTAGCCAGGCTGACAGAGAGTCATAGCTCCATTGAGCCTAGTATTCCTCTAGCCCTCAGCAGTAATGACTTCCTGAGCTTTTTCAACAACAAAGTTCTAGACATCAGAGACAAAATTGGTAACCTCCTGCCCTTACCTGGTGCGGATACGTCTGATACGGCAGAGACAGTTCCAGGACCAGATATTAGTCTCAACTGTTTTTCTCCAATCAACATTTCAGAGCTATATTCCATTTTTTCTGCATCGAAACCGTCAACCTGTATTTTGGACCCAATCCCAACCAAGCTGTTTAAGGAAGTTTTTCCCTTAGTTAGCAACTCTATATTAGATATGATCAATTCTTCTTTACTGGCAGGCTATGTACCCCAGGCATTTAAAGTAGCGGTAATCAAACCTCTACTTAAAAAGCCTACTCTGGACTCAGGAACTCCGGCTAAGTACAGGCCTATATCCAACCTTCCTTTTATCTCGAAGATCCTGGAGAAGGTGGTAGCTAAACAGCTGTGTGACTTTCTCCATGACAACAGTTTATTTGAGGAGTTTCAGTCAGGATTTAGAGTCCACCATAGCACTGAGACTGCACTAGTTAAAGTTACAAACGATCTACTTCTAGCCTCAGACAGGGGACTTCTGTCTGTGCTCGTCTTGTTAGATCTTAGTGCTGCTTTTGACACCATTGACCATCGGATCCTGTTGTACAGACTGGAGCATTTGCTTGGAATTACAGGGACTGCTTTAAGTTGGTTTGAATCCTACTTATCAGACCGATCTCAGTTTGTACATGTTAATGATGAGTCCTCTATGCACACTAAAGTTTGCCATGGAGTCCCACAAGGTTCAGTGTTGGACCAATTCTCTTTACATTATATATGCTTCCTCTGGGAAATATTATGAGGAAACACTCCATACAGTTTCATTGTTATGCAGATGATACTCAGCTTTATGTATCAATGAAGCCCGATGGCACCAGTCAGTTATGTCAGCTAGAAATGTGCCTTAAGGACGTTAGGACCTGGATGACCAGAAATGTTTTGCTACTTAACTCAGACAAGACTGAAGTTATTGTGCTAGACCCTAAGAACCTCAGAGAGACTTTTTCTAGTGATTTGACTGTCCTTAGTGACATCAGCCTGGCATCTAGCACCACTGTTAGGAATCTAGGAGTCCTTTTTGATCAAGATATGTCTTTTAGCTCTCACATCAGTCAAGTTTCAAGAACAGCCTATTTTCACCTTCGTAATATATCCAAGATCAGGAATATCCTGTCGCAAAATGATGCAGAAAAACTAGTTCATGCATTTGTTACCTCCAGACTGGATTATTGTAACTCTCTTTTGTCAGGGTGCTCTGGCAAATCTCTAAAGACTCTTCAACTGGTCCAGAACGCTGCAGCTCGTGTACTGACCAGAACCAGGAAATGGGACCACATCACTCCTGTCCTGGCTTCTCTGCACTGGCTCCCTAGACAGTCTAGAATAGAATTCAAGATCCTTCTTCTCACCTACAAAGCTCTAAATGGCCAGGCACCATCTTACCTGAAGGAGCTACTAGTGCCGTACTGTCCCTCGAGAGCGTTGCGGTCCCGGAGTGCAGGCCTACTGGTGGTACCTACAGTCTCCAAGTGTACTATGGGGGGTAAAGCCTTCAGTTATCGGGCTCCTCTCCTCTGGAACCGCCTTCCAGCCGTGGTCCGGGAGGCAGACACAGTCTGTATTTTTAAGAATAGACTTAAAACTTTCCTTTTTGATAAATCTTATAGTTAGTGCTGGTGTAGACCAGCTCTTAGTTATGCTGCTATAGGCTTAGACTACCGGGGAAACTGGCACCTTGAGCTCCTCTCTCTCTCTCTCTCTCTCTGTTTATATACAGTACATCATATTACTGCATGTATCTATCTGTAAATCTCAGTCACTAACCACCTACTTTCCTGAGAGCTCTTGAGCTCTCTTAGGCTCCTCAAGATCGCTGGTTGACGGCCTGCCAGAACAACCCCACCCCCCCCCCCACCGATTATTGATGGACGGTCTGCCTCCCCCCACCCCCTTGCTCCCTATCCCTCCTCCTGCATCTTATCTTATCTCTCCCCCTATCCCTTTCCAACCCCGGCGCAGTCTAGGCCTGTGAAGGCTGTTTCGTCATGAGCCGGGGATCCGGCCGAAGATTTCTGCCTTTTAATAAGGCAGTTTTTTCTTACCACTGTAACTTTTGCTGCTTTGCTAAAGTGTTCATGATGGATAGGCCGGGTCTTTGTAATATAGCAATAAGTAAGGTCTTTTACCTGCTTTTTGTAACATAACAATGAGTAAGGTCTTTTTACCTGCTCTTTTGTAATGTTAACAGACAAAGAGTAAGGTATTTTACCTGCTTTTTGTAAAGTGTCTTGAGATAACACTTGTTATGAGTTGACGCTATACAAAATAAATAGAATTTAATTGAAAAGCACAGATTGTTTCTTTTCCCTTCTCTCTGTTTGCCTGTACATGACCTATTAGCGCTGTAAAAGATGCTACAGTAAATCCTGGATCAGCTGTGCGGATGGTGTGACTGTGTGGTAAAGCTTTATTAAAGTTGTCACCTACATACTCATTTGCCTTTGGAGAGTAAAAGTGCAGTGTGGTGGCAAACTGCTTCAGCTCCTCTGAGTACTTAGCTGACTTTTTTCCCTGTTGTATCTTCCGCAAAATGTGTTTTGGTACTTCATCAACTGACTCGAGCAAAGATGCACATTGACTTGATATCAATAGCTTCTTCTTCAGTTGATTGATGACTTGTTTTCTCTCAGAGACTTCAGGTTGTAGCAGTGATCCTCTTGAATGTCAAGTTTTGCTTGTGTTGATGTTGTTGCTTGATAACTATGATCTTCTATATTTCTATCCACTGTTACAGCAGTGTCAGCCTGACAGATGTCAATGCTAAGAGGGAAATTTCCTTTTGCATTGTTATTCAAGATGGCATTGCTGTAATCGGCAGCAGAAGTCAAGCTGATGTAACATTGGTCAACTATTGAATCCTCTTTATTGTCACCAGAAAACCTGCTGTTTGAAAATGACGGGGGATTTACCTTGGTGTCACAACTATCCAAAATCCTGTGTTTTGCATCAGAAGTCCTCAAATGATGACTTGGAAACAGAGTAGGGAAAGCTGTGGTCTTTAGGTAACGATTTCCCTACAGGCAGTAAGAAATAAATAATTTCCCAAAATCACATTCATGTATCCACAAACATGATGCTGACAGCAATGAAAATACAAGTCACTTGTCATGTCATTAATTATCTAACCTTTGAGTTCATGGTGAACGCATGCTCTTCAAAATGAACACTGCAAAGACGAGATGATGGTGTAGGTCTCCAGTTCTTCTGTCTCATGTTCACCACCCACTGCTCAAGTCTGCCTGTGTCACCACCACCTAAAGGAAAACTGTGCAAAAATATAATAATAGAGCTTCATATTATTTATCAAATGATGTACTGTGTGCAATGCAAAGTATGAATCATTTTGTCAGCCATATTTGAATGCAGAGGCTGTGAATGTTCAGCTTTCTTTGGCTATAAAAAGGCAACAATAGCCTGTAGTTTAATCATGGTGTTTCTCTTCGTTAACGATTATTGAAGCGAAATCAAAAATAAATGCATGACATTTAAAACATATTAACATGTGTGGGGAAAACGTGATCTTTATGCCTTCTTTTATTGTGCCTATGTCTCCTCCTAACTAACGTAACAGCAGCCTGTTGTGTGTAACACTGGTCTCCTGCATTAACACCTTCCTTTCAAAGGTGATAAATACAGATACACAGTCTCAATCACCGCAATGTTTGTCAGGTTTTGTAAATTTTTAGAACAATTTCTCAATGAGTGTCATAAATTTACGATATGATCAACTTGTGACTGTTGAATTGGTGTGTGGGAGACAATGCAGAATATTTATCACGTTTAAGCAGCATGATGCTCGGTTAATATTACATTACACCACCGCCGGTTGTTGATGTTTGTGTTCACGTTTCGGTTAGTCTCTTAAATCAGTAACAGTTGTATTAAATCAGATCTTACCTTTAGTTTAATCTGGATAGCTAGAGAAATATTCTACCCTCGTATATAGTACTATGAATTTCAGCGGTGAAAGTAAAACCTGTTACTCTTAGTATAGCCCACTTATCACTCAGACTGTAAACATGTACACATTAGTAATGATGCAGGCCAGATTACAATTATGTGACTTTGTTTTTGCCCTACATACTTTTTTGAGACCTTACCAGACTATTTATTTTTGCTGTAAAATAACTGTACAGTCAATGAACCGCATCTGTGAGCAGATTTTTATAACGATTCTTGGTTTTAAATACAATTTCAATCACAATAACGATATAACAATATCAAGAAACATAGCATGTCAGTTATTAGGTTTGCTCATTTAATAAAATAGAAAGATAAATCATGCCGGATCAGTAACCTAGCTTTACAATATTTCAGCTAACTTCAGACTGCTTATGTGTTAGCTAGCTAGATAACGACTTTAACCAAACAATGACACATAAATCACTTTTTTACTTACCGAAAAATCTGCAAAGATCCCTTAGCTCCCACAGGTCGGTTAGAACAGTTTACTGCAGAACAACTCATTTTGCCAGCTTAAAAAAGACGAAAAAACTGAACGGAAAAATTCAATGGCGTCTCGGATTTCCTTCACTACGTAACTTTTGCTATTCACAAAGAGAGCTACGCAAGATCGGCGGCTGTCAATCATCGTCAAATATGACGGGAAATCCCGTTTTTCAATCTCAAATAACTTATTTAAAAACTACTTTACAGAAAAATGAGCACTTCAACACAATGTAGGGTGATAATAACTAATGATCACAGCAGAGTTTATGTTTGGAAAAAATTTATGTGACGAGTATTTTAGCTTTACAGTTTGACCCACATCCCATCTGTTATCATTGAGGAGGCGGGGTTTATGACCTATACTGCAGCCAGTCAGTAGGGGGAGCTCTAAAAATAAAAGCTTCACTAGACAGGGGACCTTGTCATTATTTTTACAGTCTATGATTTCAACATGCCAGTACTACGACTTTTACACAAATCGAACTGCACGGCCTGCTGCTTAGCCACGTTAAGCTGCAGCTGCACTCCTGCGGTTGAGACATACCCCGACATGCACAGGGGTGCGAGGGCCCTTCATCACCGCTTGCGGTTTTAATTTAAATTATTATTCTAAAAGGTTGTATCAAAAGAGCAGCCATTGGCCTGTGTGAAAATGATGAAAGGAGAACCCTTAAAGCCTTTTCCTCTGCCACAAAAGAGACAATTTCCTCCCAGTCATTGTGGTTCTTTCTTCCGAGAAGCCCCAGTTTCTTGAAATGTCTTTTCAGGGTCCTGATACATATGACACTGTGATGATGATGTGCGAAAACAATGTGTGGTTTACCTCTATCAAAGTATAACTTCAAAAGATGCTCCACGTTTGTCATTTTTGAACAGGCGGCTGCTCTTCTGATATAACTATAGACTAAAATAACAACATTAATGTTGTATATTTATGACTTTATACTCATGAATTTACGAGATTAATCTTGAAATTTTAGATTCTTTTTTTCTTTAACGTGGCCCTAATCCTCCGTCGTACTGACCACCTTTCAGGCACAATAGACTGAATACAGGCTATGGTGAAAATGAAATAATTCATGAAAATAGGACTGACCTGTAGCAGGCAAAGAAGAGGTCCAGAGTAAAGCCACTATAGAAGAGAAGAAAGTGCAGACATATAAAAGTCCATTTTTCTCCTAACTCTCTCTCAATATTTGAATCAATTGAGAATAATAAAGTGAGTAACTATTCTGTTAACCTGCTTTCAAATGTTAAATATTAGAAAAATGTGCCTTACCCAGGGTCAAGTAAAGGTGTTTCTGTTGTATGCTCCTCATGGCGGATGTATAGGGTGCATGTATCATGATGAAAGGACAGACAGAAAGTGACTTTACAAAAGCCCTCAGACACACTTAACTGTCTTTTCAGAAATATTTCCTCTTTAATAATGCTGATGATCTTGTTTAAAGAGGACATATTGTACACCTTCTCCACCTTTTCAAACAGTCCCATGTGGTTAAATGAAACATCTGTGCTGTGCTTTGGTCAAAATATAACATGAATCAAGCACCAGAGGAGGTTTGTGACCCTGTATAAACCACCTCTCTCAGAACGCTCCGTTTTGGTGTGTGTGTCTCTTTAAATGCAATGAGCCCCCCCTAAGTTTTCCTGGTAGACATCACTCCTCTGTCACGAGAATAAAGAGGAGAAAATTTGACACAGTGTCCATAGACACTCAAGTTACCCAAATATATGTTCAAAAACATTGTGCAAGTGGATTGTTGTCCCCTTTAAACAAAAAGTACTGTTCAGTAGAACTCAGCATCTTAAATTGGTTTAAGTTTACACATTTTATTTTTTTGTCTGTTAAATTAATTTTAAAAGGCTAATTTTGGGTCCTCTCCCTTTGTGATTAAACCAGTAATACCATCATGCTAAAACTTGTTTCAAAACATAGAATGTCTTAACCAACACAAGACCAAAACCACAGTTTTGTCTTGATACTTCTTCTTTATACTTCCTCTATATGCATTATGTTTCCTCAAATACATGAAGATGTGAAGCTCTTTTAGGAGGTGCTCTCATCACATTGTAAGTATCTTGAATGTCTCTTTAGTCAAGTTCAGTTTATATTCACAGAATATATCTTATTTCTCTGCAAATGCAAGACCTAAGTGAGAATGTGGAGAATGGGAAGTTTGGAGACATTTTGGAGAAAACCTTTAGTTAGGGCCCGAAGCACTGACAAGTGCGTAAGACCCTATTGAAACCCTAGCGATTATTAGGGCCCGAGCACGAACCGTGCAAGGACCCTCTTGAAACCCTAGTGATTATTATTATTAGGGCCCGAAGCACTGACAAGTGCGTAGGACCCTCTTGGAACCCAAATGATTAATAGGGCCCGAGCACGAATTATGCCATTAACATAGCGCCCCCTACTGGAAAGAGGCGGTACTGCATCTCAGCTACTTTGTCTGATCTGCTTAAAATTTAACAAGTATGATCAGGGTTGGCCTCTGAACACTTTAACATAACAATAGTCAACTTCAACCACAGTGTCCCCTACTGCAAGGACTAAGTACTACATCCTATACACTGTCTATTTCCTTCAAATTTCATAGCTATCATGACAGTGCCAGCCTGAACTGCTCTAAGTCAAATTTCATGTGATCTTCATTACGTTGCTTATTTCAACATGCCAGTACTACGACTTTTACACAAATCGAACTGCACGGCCTGCTAATTAGCCACATTAAGCTGCAGCTGCACTCCCGCGGTCGTGACACACCCCGACATGCACAGGGTGCGAGGGCCCTTCATCACCGCTTGCGGTTTTAATTAATGTTGTGTTTATGTAATTTCTTAAGTTTCCTTACAAAGGTCAGGCAGGGAGTGTTTTGCCTTCCAGGCTATTTATGTTTTATAAATATTCAGTTTTTCTGTAATTTAGCCCCCCTAGGGGGGTTTTGCATCACTTCCTTTAGGAACAGGAAGTTGGAAGTTTTATATGCACATGGTCTAGGGCCCTTTTTCAATCCAACCCCTACATCCTCCGTGATGGAGTGCACTCAGTTAGAAGTCACACTCGCAGCTGAATGAAGTCTCCTTCATCAAGGTGTAGGGTAGAAATACAGCAGCAGGCTTTGGGAAAAACTTCCCTCTCTCAGGTGGAAAAGGGAACCGTATGTTACCATGGTTACTCAGCGGTATCTTGCGGAAGACATCACTTCTCTGTAACGAGAATAAAGAGGAGAAAATTTGACACAGTGTCCATAGACACTCAAGTTACCCAAATATATGTTCAAAAACATTGTGCAAGTGGATTGTTGTCCCCTTTAAACAAAAAGTACTGTTCAGTAGAACTCAGCAGCTTAAATTGGTTTAAGTTTACACATTTTATTTTTTTGTCTGTTAAATTAATTTTAAAAGGCTACTTTTGGGTCCTCTCCCTTTGTGATTAAACCAGTAATACCATCATGCTAAAACTTGTTTCAAAACATAGAATGTCTTAACCAACACAAGACCAAAACCACAGTTTTGTCTTGATACTTCTTCTTTATACTTCCTCTATATGCATTATCAGGCGCGTCTCACCTGTGGGTGTTGTGGGTGTTGCGACACCCACACTGTCACTGAAACGTATTTTTATCCCCCACACTTTTTGACTTTTTACCAGTGGAGTCATCGATGAAAACCTATTGGTCAAGTAAGATTTATTAAGTGACAATTAAGCCAATCATAGCTGTTTGGTTACAGTTGAAGCACGGTAAAGTGACGTGCATTTAGCAGTAATCCTCCTTTCACTCATCACTGGCTGAGTCAGAGCTTAGAGCTAACAAATGGATCCACAACATGTAGCATCCTTCTGAAAGAAAGTTACTCACCCAAACAAATGTTTTAAGATAAATCCACCTCAAAAAACAATGTAAGCGTAAAATTTTCTCCTCTTGGTTTTTCTTTTAGCTGTATTTATTTACTCCCGT